GTTATAGGTTCATAAAAACTGACAAAATATTTAAAACCCTCTACTGCTCTACTCCTTAGACAACCAGTGGCGGCTCCAAGGGGGGCTATAGAGGCTAAAGATTTCCTCTCATTGGGCCAGGGAAATATAAATTTAACCATACACTTTGTCATTAAAACGTTACAGAGGTTTATGGACACAGTTCAGCACGTTAAAATGGCTTTAAACTTCGCCAAACGGCTTTAAAAATAGCAAACTTTCTGGGCGAGGACTCCGAACACCCACCGTTCAACTCACCTCCTTGGCAAGATCCTAGACTCGAGACTGTAGACGACATACCCTTTTAGACTGACGTTACGATGGTGTGTTATACTTCTACCTTGTTTAAGCGTTGGTGAAATAATATATATATACCTGCAGGTTAATTGGAAATAAATGATAGGCATATAGGCCTTAATAGATCTCCAACCAACGTGATGGATGGTATTATTCACTCAGGTGGATGTACAGAACAAATAACAATAACCCTGCCACAGCAAACCTGGTAACAAAGCGAATTTCCAATTGCCTGATTGGATTTTCACTTTATTATTTCCGGCTGATTCCCTAATAACAATAGATTTGAAGAGCACTTAGGTTTGCTGCTACAGGGAGGTTAATAAAAGGGGTGTGTTTCTTTTATAAAAACGTTTCTTCATAGAATTGCCAAACGGCTAAATCATTATACAAAAAATATAAACTAATCACACACTTAAAAAAAGTTCTATATTTCGTCTTTAGCCTTCTTCAGGAATATAATAATGTAACCCTCCATAAGAATTGGAGCTATGGAGAATTTGCAATTGTTTTAATTTTCTCCGTAACAGGTCCGATTATGCTGGTCCGACATGTTCCGATTATGCTGGTCCGACATGTTCCGATCATGCTTGTTCGAATAAAAGTAGGTTTACACGTTTGTACCGAATGTTATTAAAATTGATTGAGTTTTACTCGAATTATCGTGCTAATAATAATCGTGAACGACGTGAACCAAGCTCCAGGAAATGTTGCTATGGGTAAAAATACATAGAAATTAATTCAAGAATAACATTTTCCTCAAAATCGCTTCGTCTGCCATTTTGTATTTTTCGCATAAGCATTTTTATCTTTAGATTTTTCTAACCGATTTTATAAAACTTGGCATCTATGTTAAGATAGACTGGACCCATGTTATAATGAAAATTGTCTTGATCCAATTCAAAATTTTAAAACGGCGGACATTTAAATGTTTTGAATTTAAATTACTAAAAGATGGATGATACTGTAAAAAAATGTAGATAACAATTTTATTTAGCATTTAAGATGCACTATCAAATGGCACCAAGTTCAAAAAGATCTAATAGGAAGTAACTGTAATATCACGATGTTTTGTTGTAAACTGAGGAAGAATAAGGCTAAGCTAGTCAGGTTTGTCTTATTAATCAACCAATAATAAATCGTGATATTTCGGTTATTTTTTATTAAATCTTGTTGACCTTGGTGTCGTTTAATAGAACTTTAAATGCTAAATAAAGGTGTTGATTTTTTTTCATGAATTAATTTGTAACTTAAAAAATAAATGGCCGCCTTTATGTTTGGAACTTTGAATTGGGTCACAGAGAAAAAAATATTTTGCTTATCTGTGGTTGGATTAAGAAAACTTTTTTCTAACATGGGTCTCTTCTACTTTTTACATACATACATAACAAGTATCATACAGATCGGTTGGAACAATCCAAAGAAATACAAGTTTATATGAAAAATACAAAATGGTGGATAACTGTTCAACGAAGCGATTTGGGGAAAAATATTATTCCTGATTTTCTCTATGTTTTGACCCATAGAACCATTTCCCTGAGTTTGGCTGTTTACTTACGGGGCACCCTGTATATATGACTTTGGACTAATGGCCATAGATGAAGTAATATAATAATTATATACCTTCATCCATGGTATGGTGTTTTTGGCCTTTGGAAACATCGAAACGAAAAGTAAATCGGTCCCGGGTCTAGGTCTCACCATAAGACCTACGGTAATAGCTTATTCCCAATATGGGAAATTCGCTAATGAATTAGAGACAATGCAATGATTATCGACATTTTACAATCTCTACGTCATACTTTACTTTATTTTCTTCACCTTATCAAGATCCTCCTTCTCTGCACCAGACTAGAGTCAGAATATTCTGGTACTGTATTCAAACTATTGTCGCTCACGGATCGTTGAAAAGCAAATGAGAAAAACTTTGTGCTCAACGATAATTTTGGGACATTGTACAATACGTTTTAGTTCATATATTCGCCGATTTTTTAGAATAAGGCAGATTTTAACTCAATAATATTAACCTGAAATAGTGGAAACCGACCGATTAAGCTTGTAGAGTATTTTTTCCACAGCAAAGTTTAAACGTAACCTAGATGAAATTTTAATTACAACAAAAAATTTAACTTGTGTTATTTTTACATTGATTTCTACGGGATTTTCGGGTCAGATTTAACATCGTGTAGGCGTGGTCTAAACTTGAACAGTGCCCTACTGCTGCAACCCTCATTGCATAACAGTTCAAAACAGTCTGATTATAAAAATATGCAGGCGTTCATTATTTGAAAAAATACAATACAGTATCACAATAATTATTTATTTTTAAATCATTTTCTTCCGAGTAAATTGCTTTAGACTTGATAATATGGTCATATGGCCATATTTCCATCTAAAATGTTTAAGTTAATTGCCTCTTGAAAATATACGTGCATTCAAAATAGTTGTAAAATATAATTTTCATCATACCGTCCGGAAAGCAGCCGTTTTTAGTTCTCTAAATCATCAGCAAAATTATAGTTTTCAGGTAACTTCAAATAGGGAACAGAACAATAGTTGTAAAATATAATATCTCATAGAAAATAGAGTATACCATTGACTACAACAATCGGTTGCACTGTACGTATTCATAAAAGTATGTAATGCATACAGTATAGAAATACATCTATTGGTCGTAAATCGACTCAATAAAAAATAAACAGAAATTATTTTATCACCCAAGTTATTTCAGAAGTTGGAATCGAAATGATCTACTAAAAATAGTAGCATTATGCAATTAATTGTATAAAATTGTAGTAGGTACCAACAAGTGTCAACACATTGCATTTCAAACCTCCAACCAATGTCATCCTGATTTTCGCATCCATTCAAACAAATGTTGAACTGTACCTACAGAATTTCATAAAAATCGGGGTAAATAATGGGTATCGTGTATAGCTAATGGCTATTTTAAATATTTGCTCAAACTGTGGATTTACCACCTTGAGAATTTTAACTGGGTGTCATACTGCTATTGAGTATTAAACTACATTACTGCATATCAAAATTCACACATGGCTCGAGTTTTGACATAAAACAATGCGTTACCTTACTACTAAAATACACACTTAGATAATCCTGGATAAAAGTTTGAAGAAATGTTAATAAATTATATACTTTAATTTGAAATTGAATTACGTACACCTTTCATATTGTAGTTTAAATATCCCAGAGCTTCCCGCTCTGATAACTTACTTGTTCAGTGCTGCGACCTAGCGAATTCCGTTTGAACCTGCCAGCCCGTACCATTGATTATACCGTGGGGTCGATATCCCAAATTATCGAAACTGAAATAGTTGCATGTAGTCGACATCCTAAATACGGTAACAAATAGTGTTGGTCATATTTTGACAGTTACATGCGAATGTCGTTTATTTGGGATGTTTGTAAAATGCGACAATTGTGTAAGATTCGCAAAAACATATATATAATCAAATAAAAAAAAAAATTAAAAACTAAAATCTAATCAATGTTCTTACTTCTTACAGTAATGCCTTCATTCGAATTTTTTTGGAATCTTTGTACTGTAATGTCGCTTATTAAGACTTATATAATTTTAAGCGTACCGATGTCAAAGTGTTCGTTTGATTTCTCAAATCCGTATTTTTAAACGTTTCCTTAATGGGATATGGAAAGGGGGAAAAAATATGTTGAATTCAGTATAATCATATTGTAGACAATGGCTGTTTTTGTCAAACTAAATACCCTTAATTGTTGCAGGGATTTGTTAAAAACTTAATTTTGACATGCGGTCACCAAGTTCCGTTAAAATAAGAAGTGATAACATGTTCCATTAATTGTTTTAACGTAAACATAATGAAAATTATATATAGTAAAAAAAAGAATTTGGGGTTTAAAATCTAAAATAGTTTTAAATTAGTAGTAAAATCCGTATAATAAATAATTTAGAAAGAATTAGTTTTTTCGGAATAAGTAGCTCCAATGCCAATCGAAATTGCCTTGTTATACCTATACACAAAATGTGTATATTAATATTGGAATTATTAATTATTTTCCAATAATATTTTTACGTTGAAAAATGAATGTTGATGATCTTGGCTAATATTACGATCTATACCATATAACCGAGTGGATGCTGATAAAACAGTGGAGCCGACGCGGACGTAGGGAAATACATTTTCCCTCCAAGGATTGTGCCATACCGATAAATTAATAATACTTGCATGAATATTGAATTGTATGTCATATGTGCGTAAAAATGTCTAGTGGGAATATATTTTGTGTATTTTATTTGTTTTAACTCATAAAATATAACTTCTTCATATATTAAAGAAAATTTAACCACACTTTCCCAATACTGTAAAACTAAAATCTATATACACAATTCTATATGTGATAAAAAAATAATGTGTTTCACTACTAAAGTTGTTTCTAGACACCTACGGTATTTCAAAATCTGACCAGAACATTTTTATTAGATAATCAGTTTTTTCACGTGTTTTACAGTTTAAAATTATATTTTATTAACTATTATTATCCATTATTTGCTGTATATTGAAATATAAGGAAACCAACGGGAAACCCTGAATCCAGTGTTGGCCAGCCTGCTGTGGAGAATTCGAATGATGCGATTGGTCGGGCGCCTTGCGACTTGCGTCTGCTCCGTCAAACACACTGACTGTCAGAGTCAGATAGATACATTTCATTTCTCATTCTCACAACACAACACTAACTACACTTGACTTGACTGGGCACGTCGACAGCATACAAAATTACAAGTGTTGGAGTTGTGTTTTCGTTGTTGGTGTTAATCAGTGTTTTATTTAGTAATGACATAGCCTGTCCTTCTTGTAATTTGTGTTACTCGAAAATCATTCATAATGCCAGTTATTTTACTCGAAAGGTTGCCTCTTCCTAGCCTTAAAGCCTATACGGTTATCAGTGCTGTGGTGTTATCGTGTTCGGTATATTATGCTGTTCATGTGACAAGTGATCCAAGCTGGAAGAGCAATTCTACATCTTCAGTGAATATAGAAACCCTTGAGACTGTTAAAAATGATTCATATGATGTTGTTTTAGGACTGTCAAGAAAACTGTCGACTCTTGGGGTTTTTATAAAAAATATAGTGTCATTCATGATTCAGGAGCCTCTTTGCATTTGGGTAAGTACTGAAAATGAACAAATTTAATGCATAAATATTACCTCTGTAAGGTGCAGTGGTAGAATATGTTTTGTTGGATAGAAATAGGCCATGACAGTAGGACTATGTCCTACTTAGGCAACAGTAACTTAGTTGGATACCGAAGGAGTCAAGGAAGGCCCAGTCTTAAAGAGTAAATTAGCATAATGTACTTCCTTGGAAGCTTTTGGTAATCAATGACAATTTATTCTGGTTCCAAGCTATTGACATCTTCTGTCTACTAGGTTAAGCCTAGTTAAATAGGCTATTAGGCTGAATTGCATTAACATAAGCTGTGATCAATGTTTTGGTTTGATCAAACAGCTCACAAGTAAATTTTTATGCCACGGACACATAGGATTTTTAACTAGTAATTTCGATTCAAATATAAGTATTTATAAAATAAGACCTAGGTTTACTTTAAGTTAGTTCCGCAGAGAACCAACGATGTATTAGGCTATCACATTAAATATTAGTTCAATATTTATAGGCATATCTTATCAAATAGGATCCTTTTACACCACATAAAAATATTTTAAGCCATCAAGTTTAGTACCGGACCGGCAGGCTACACTGTTCTGCGGCGGTTAGGTTTATTTAGTACCTACAGTTTGGTCTATACACTTAATACTTACTTTATACTTTACTTGAAATAGCAAGTGCACGAAAGTAGGTACATTTTAAGCCTGAGGTACATGAATGGAGATGAGTGGCACAATCTTGTAGGCTTGTCACTGACTAAAGGCCGATACGTTCCTTAGACAGGTGACTGTTAATTGATAGCCCATACAGCCTATGGTAACTAACAAACCTACAGTTTATAGTGGAATCCAAACCAGATTTTTACCTTGTAATTTACAAATTGTTCTAATTATCAGGATAGTACAGCGGATAGTCGTAGGACTCACTAGTGCAGGCGTTAATCCACACCAGGTAGTATCGCATCCACAGATCATGCCTATAAACATCCACAATTTGTGACCTCCAAGTAGCTGGATTACAGGACAACGCCACAATCCCAGTCTATGATAGATACATCTATTACTTATTTAATTCGCAAGAAGGATTTTTGTGACAATTACTCGTCTGAAACTACTGACCCGATTGACATGTTTTTGGTGTCATTAGAAAGAGCGTAACGTGAAGTTGTGCAGGATAGGTACTTTCTTTTTAGGTAGGCCTAAATAATTAGAGAGTGAGGCCCTGGGGCCCTTTAAAGTTTCGTATTTCTCCATAAGATTAACATGGGAAACTTTGTTTTGAAACTCCAGCTGTTGTCAGAAATTAAATATTAACTCGGTGAAACCCGTCGAAATCGACGGTTACTTTTAAGGCTTACGTTAATTCATCTAACTGCGATAAATTGGTTGAAATATACATATTTTGAGCATTTAGCATTGTTTAAAGAGTAATAAGTGTAAAAACAATAATGATATTAATTGCGTTAGTTGCCAAATTTGGTTGATCATTCAATGAATAAAATATTCCCCATACCCTACGTCGTCGGAGTTATTATTAGTAGGCCTATGTTATATGGTATCTCTTCCTTTGAAAGAAACATTAAAAAGTATTTAAAATCGTATTGGTGGACCTTTTGTAGCTAAACACTTCCGTGATTTCATCAGTGTAATATGATTTATTTAGAAAGAAAATGCTTTTTTGGGAAGACATAATCTAACTTCAAAGGGAGTTATATCCGTTGCAGTGTAAGTTTGATTTTTCCAGTCAGTTTCAAGTCAGTTCATATCGTACTTCTGTGCCAATGAATGAACCATCTAGGCTAATACTTTAACACTTTCTTATTAAATGGTGACCATACAAAGTAGCATAGTTTTCAGAAATTGATTGTGGGGTTACTGTTAAAGCTGGAATTCCTTGACATGGGGGATGTCAGTTAGTTGTCTCAGCCTTATCAATAACATAAAGTTGTCAATATAATCTCTCTACGGAATGTTAGGTGTAGTGGAATATACTTGAAGTGAAGTTGGCCTTTATTCTTGAACTGAGGCCTCCTCGTTTATATGGTCGTGCGGCTTCATTGGCAGCAAATAATGTAAATAACATAGCAATGTGGCATTTCCAAAAAGCAAAAAATACTGTAAATTGGCTGTTACGTATATATTGACGTTTACATATTGTTAATCAACGTATCTTATAAAGGATTATGTGATCTAGTTTAAAAACGAATATGACATTTCTGTCATGACAGTAGCTGCTTAAATAGTATTTTCTCTTTGTACCATATTTTACAGCCCAAATGTTGTGTTATTTTCAATAATGTTACCAACCCAGTGCGCCAAAGTTCGTTATATAGGCAGGTGCAAATAATTTGTCAAGATGGGTACCAAGGTAGGCAAGGTTTCTATGTTTGGATTTTATTAGACACGATAAGAGCATATATTTCTACATAGGCCTAAATATTTTATATGTGTAGAATAATACGATAAAAGGTAGGCAAAAGTGGTGAAAAAGGCAGACACCAACCCGTACAATAGATATAAGATAGTTCAGCAAGAAACACGATTCTAGTAATCGTGGTAAGAAATAATTTAAGAAATGCTAAGAAAAAAGGATTTTCCACTGATTTCGTAATGGAACGTTGTATTGCAAAACATGACATGATAAAGAAGAAAATCAATTTTAAAATCAGACAATAACATTGAAAATACTTATTTGGTAGAATTCAGTAACTCCCAATAAATGTGTGTTGTTTGAAATACAATTTAAAAAAGAACAGCTGTTTCATTAAAAAGTATTATTCACATGGCCAACATGTAAACAACTCTGTGGAGGGATCTTTAAAGGCTTCTGGGGGCAGAGTCCTAAAGGATTTTGCTTAGTTTTTCTTTTTATAACTCATCTACAGACCAAGACCTTTCTTTGGACACCTCTACCAAGTTTCTACGCCTAGCCGTTCTCTCAAATTAGTGGGGACAAAGTTTCCAATTAAATATTTAGATTCCCCCATGTTAATCTTATGGGAGAAACTCCAACTTTGATGGCCTGTGGGGCAAAGCCCGAGAGTTTTTATTACAGGAATTGGTGAAAGGGGGCGTCTACACGAAAAATACTTTATTTTGACACGTCGTTTGTAAAAATCCGTCCATTATTAAGTTGGTAATCCTTGTAACTTTAATGCTATTGAACATCATAGAATAGAACCAACTTGTTTAATTGAAACAGCTGTTAAGATTCATTAATTCCATTTCTCATAAGGTTAACATGGGAAACTCCAGAGCCACTGGGGCGGAGCCGATTGGACGGATCACGAAATTGATGGTGTATAAACCTATTCCATGAAATTCTACACGTATGTACCAAGTTTCGTGGCAATCGGTTCAGCGGTGTCTGAGCTTATCACTGCCAAATATATATACAAACATCCTCTTTTATACTTATAGATTTATTTACTATAAATTAATAGTGAGAAGAACATATGTTAATTGTAAACAGTCAATGTGTAAATTATCTATGTTGTATCAGTCAATGGTTGTATTAAAAATGTGTATAGTAAAAATGTGTGGATGTTGGTTTGTGTTTAATGATCTATGTAATTAATACGCTACATGAAACTTCGTCGGTTGAACTCCTCCGCCATTTCTTAACCGATTTTATCCATTGACGTCTCATTGGAAAGAACGTGTCGCGTAGATTTGCAAACTGACCTTACATTTTTTTAAGTCCCTTGGGCTCTGCCCCAGTGGCTGTTAAAGTTCCCATGTTATCCTTATGAAGAACATAATTGTTTACATTTTGATCAGCTGTATAATTTAATTGCTGTTCTTTTTTTCCAATTCAAAGTCTTTTAAACTCATCGGAAATTATTATGACTTTTATTTGTTTTTAAATAACTAGGCTATTTTACTTCTTTGCAATTGCTCGATTTCGAGCAACGTGTTTACTATAGTTCGGCCGCTTAGAAAGCGACCTCCTCCAGCATCGGTTTAGCATTAGTGCGCAGGTCGTTTTCTAAGCGGCCGAACTATAGTATATGATAAATACTTAAACAAAGTAGGCTAACTTAACATTTATAAAAACAAAACAAAAGTTGATTTGTTACGTGTATTTTGTTAAAGAGATAAGTTAAATTTACAAAGGTGTCAACTTAAAAAGGTTGAATTTTGGAAATATTTTTTTATTTGTCATCATCATCATAAACTAAACTGATCCAATCTTACCTAGCCTAAACGCCGCAGCACACAAAAAAACGGCCTTCTTCTAGACTCGATTACGATAACAAATCACCAATAAATAGGCCTACATTGAATTAAATAGACTAATTTAATCAAAATCCTAGCTATTTTTATTGTAGGTTCCCTGCAGAACTAGGTACCTATCCAATAAGACCTAAAATTCATAATACTTATATTAGAGCACCTAAAATTAATATTTGAACACAAGCTATCTTTTAAACATCTAGGGGACCAATGTGAATTGCCTTTAGCTCATTAAAGCAACAAACAGAGCATTGTTGGTCATGTAAGGAGCTGTCTAAAGTTTACGTTACATTTTGATGGTTCATCTTTTTTACGTCTTCTGAAAATTTATCGTATAGGTGAGAAAAGTTAAGTAGGCCTATCTTTTTGATGGTCCAAAACTGGAACCAGCTGTCCGTAATCATCGGGCTTTTAATAAAATGGTCCTGGCTAATGAAACAGCTGGTCTTAGTCAGTAAAAAAGTTACACAAGGCATCTTACTTCGTTTGTCCTACATCCTTCACTAATTTGGGTTAAGATTTGTACCTGGTTAGCGTCCCCATCTAAATTGGTAATAATAATCGTTTAACCAATTTTGATTCAAATTAAACTTCACTTTTCTCACTGACAAGCAATGTGTTTTTTAAGAGACTGTCAAGGGTTTCAATTATTTGTGATAAATCTGTTGAAATAGGCCTACTCATCTGAGATCTATTCTAACAGATGACATGATAGGGATCATTGATTCTCAAAGGAAGGGTGTGTACTTGGTGTAGTTTGCACCA